TGGCACTGAGATGTCTATTTTAGCTCAGATATCAGAGCACGGGCATCTGGGCTTTGTCCTTCTTGCCCCAATGAAATTACAAGTGGCTGCAGAGGGAGGGGGATTGTGGTAGCCAGCAGTCCTACATCGCCACAGTTATTGAAATAGGAAGGTCTGGGTCAAAAATAAGGTTTTTCTTCTTGGAAGAGCCTGCCCCAAATGAATTTTTGAGTGATCCAAATCATAGGAAAGGGTTCAAAAAACATGGCCAAAAGTTTCAGAACTTACTGAACCACTGTGGCTGGAACATTGCCCAGGGTAGATAAATGTATTGTGCCCATGTGCACCACATTAATCATTCAGGTTTATGGCTACCAACATGCTGTCTCTGCCTAAGGGCTTGTCAACACCACAGAGTTTGTCAGTCCAGCCTTGTAGGCAGGGACTTCCAGTGGAGGTGCTGCACATCCCAGCAGAAGGGTTTTTTGGCTGACCGTACGTGATGAATGGCATCAGCTAAGTAGACAAAAGCATTTCTCATTGGCGTGGCTGCCTCTGCAGCAGCAGGGTACAACTCCTGCCTGATGGAATTTGTCTGGAAAGCCAGGGGCCAGAGCCGACCTTGCTCTGGGCTTCCTTTCCTCCCCCTGCGAGGGTAGGCTGGGGGCAGTACATGTGGTGATGTTCCTGCAGGAGCACAGCAAGTTGAATTTCTGCAGTGTGACACACCTGGTGCTGATGCCCATGCAAGGAGCATCTCACCTGGGCACTACAGAAGGGGTCAGGAGTAAGAGCTGATCCTACAGCTGCTCAGTCAGACAGGCACAGCCTTCCTCAGGCTATTTCTGTGGACAGTAACCTATACTAACATATACAACCTGTGGTAACGAAACCTTGGCACCATTATAATTTAATTGTTGCCTTGGCACTTAGTAAAAGCATTGTAACAGTCCATGGGATTATTCCAGACCTTAGTAAGATCCCTCGTCCATACAACCGTTAGACTCCTCTGCTACTTCCCAGAGCCTTCCACACCTACCTGTTTGCTCTTCAGCACGCTGGTTGCATGAGAATGAACAACGGCAAGAACAGAAAGAGCAAAGAGCCAATAAAGAATAATTTACTCACACGAGCAGGAGGGCTACAAAAATAAGCAAAAGGGCCCAGGTTTCAGGAGCGAGGGAAGGAAGAAGGTTCATCTTGGCTCTTCTCTAGTTGGCTTTGAGTTCTGTCTTGATGCGTGTGACCCTCTGTCCCGGGTCTGCAGGAGAAAGGAGAGTTTCACAATGTGTAGTCTTTGGTGTCCAATCATGATTTAGGGGTTGGCCTCCACTCATGAAAGAGGAGGAGTGAGAGGCAAAGGTAGCACAGTATGCTAATCTGAAAAACATAGTTCATGTGATAGATAAATGTCTGGCTGAAGTAACTAAAGTTCAAATTATTTAAAACATACATTTTCAGAATTTCAGCCAGCTTCTCTGTTGCAATAGTAAGTAAAAACTTCTTGAGTAATGCTCCTGGGCTCCTATACTGAAATAAATAAAACCAAGTTACAGTGAAAAGGTAAATCATAAAGCAGGTGTCAGAGTTGGTTTACAAAAGGCTAAGGGAAAGAAAAGTGAAAAGGTTATTGGAATATTGTATGACAGGATCTTTTCTGGCAGCTGAATTAACTTTGGCAGAACTTAAGATTTTGTTTAAAATATCTTTATTTCTGTATGTGTTGTGAAGAAGAAGTGCTGCCTGCTTCCTTCTGGGATGGGTCAAGAACAGTTTCTAACAAATGCAGGAATTGCCCTATTTGCCCCAATAGGCAATGAAGACCTTACAAGTCAACTTTTCTTGCTGGGTTTGTGGCTGGGCATTTTGTACGAGAAATATTTTTCCACAACTATGAGCAGATCTTGACTGAAGCACCATCAGTTCCAAACAGGAGCTCAGGGCTTATGAAAAATCTTTCTGCGGTGGTTGGAAGAAAAGCACAAGCAAAGGGAAAACACTAATTTTATAATGGTTGTCTCATAAGAAAGGCACAGAAAAATACCAGCATCCTAGAGGTATGGATGTGATATGAGAAGCTTATGACAGTGGAGAAAGTTTTGCCATTTGGATAGTGTTTATAGGTGATCTTAGCACCGTGGCATGAGGTTACATGCTTTGCGAAGATGTGTACTATGACATCTTTAGGTCTCCATTCAGGACTTTAAAATGAGCAATTCCCTTCCTGTTGACAGAGCTGTCATCTTCTAAAGAAAGTTGACTGCATGCGCAGGTTGGTGTTGGGTTGGTGTTGCACATATTAGCACCAGATGCTCCGATTGATGCTGGGTTAACGAATGAGTGCATCTCTGTCCAGGTGGTGATGTGAGACTTTCTGGGAGTTACCATCTGACTTATCTCAAGACTATTTGTATCTCACTTCACCTTTGCCTGGCCCTTGTTCTGACCTTCAGAGAGGGGTTATTTTGTAATAAACACTCTATGCCAGCTTGGCATGAACAGACAAGTTCATGACACGGTTACATAAGCATGTGTTGGGTCTTACCTCTCTTGACTCAGATATGTTGAAAGTATGTGTGACTAAATGGGTGCTTTCCCATTCAGGCGTTTGTCACAGCAGTGATTGTTTTCATCGTGACATTTCCTTGAAGTCTGAATTTAGTGGGCTCCAAATATTCCTGACTCTGTGTTAGGAAACCAGTTAATATGGTTTAGCCAAAAAATAGGATTGATGTAGGGTTTTCCATCCTCACTAAAAATAAGCCTCAGTCCTCGCCCTGTGTCAGTTATTTTTAGGGATAACAGTAGTTTCTAAATAGTCTCTCTGATTTTGCATTGGGGTCTTATGACCACTGCCAAGCAGACTGTACCTGTTTCCTTAAAAAAAAAAAAAAAAAATGAGAGAGAGAAAAAGCTGAGAACTTGATAGGTTAGGAAGAAAGAAAGAAAGAAAGAAATCCTCTTGCTAGTTCATGGCAGGAAAGTCAATGACCGAGCAATGAATGACTGATTTTTCACGTCAGATGTTAAGTCCATCTCAGAGCTTGGCTTATATCCTAACTTAACAGTGGTTTGAGCCAAAGACACACACAGGGTTTTGCCATCACTGCAGTTTCTCCATGAGAAGAATTTCATGGAAACGAGAACAGAATGAGCTTACTCCTTTAGAGATGTTCCTTCTTCCCACGAGCTGTCCCTTCACCTTATCCAAGTCCTTTAGATGTGTCTTCTTCCTTACCACCACGAGCTTTTGGGCATCCCAGATGTTTTGAATTGTGCTGCATCCCATCATGGTCTTGGGTGAACCCTGGGCACCTGCTGGCAGCAACGTGCTGCTGGGGGGCTGTGACAAGGCACTCCCCCAAACGGAGGTGCCATGGTACCTGTGGGAACAGCCTCCTGGTGACACAGTGGCACGGTGTGCAGTGCAGGGTGCCTGTGCAGTGCTCACCCCTGCCATGTAGGCTCCGGCACCCTGGGAGCAAGAGGTTTAAAAAGGCAAACTTTACAGCAAATTCCAAAACGAACTGAGCTGCTTTTCCATTTCTAATGCCGCTAAGTAGCTCAGATTAATGGATTAATGGCTTTCAGGAAAGCAAAATAACACCACATTGTTATTTGCAGTGTAATGAAAGGAGTACTCCTAATCCAGGTTGTGAACAAGGTGTGATGAGCAGTAGGGATTTCTTGTATAATAATGACAGGGGGCTGGGCTGTAAAATGGGAGAACACGTATTTCTTTCACAGGCCATGAAACCAAATGATGTAGGGTAAGAAAAACACTGTGGAATAGCAATTATGACTGGGGAACAGGTGTGGAGAAGAAAGAACTGCTCAGAAAGGAAAGACCTGTTGGCCAAAAAAAAAAAGAAAAAGAAAAGAAAAAAACACAGTGGGTAGCATTTTGTGTTGATGATGAAAAGGACTGCACGGGAATAAGGAGGGCCAGGCTAGATAAGCCTGAATTTTTAGGTTTAATTCACTTTTCAGTGTGATCATGAAAGTATCTCCTGAGATACTTTAGGGAATTTGTTTTAGATTCCCAGGGCTGAACCAGTTGCAGAGGGACTCTGCATTGCTACTTTGGATATAAATATTGCTGGGGAGTTATCTCATTATGGAGTACTTCAGACTCTCTAGATGCAGATCAGAAAACTGCTACTGATGGTGGCAGAGCTCAGATAGTCTCCGTATGGGAGATGGCAGATCTCTGCACTGAAGAAACACCAAAACTGGCAAGCAGTGGAACTGGTTCAGCTTTGGCGTTGGCAAGTAATTTAAGATGTTATAGGAGAACAGTGAGGAGCAAAATTTCCTTGGGCTGAGCAAAATGCATTCATTTAGCTTACCATAAGTGGAAGCATAAGCTAAGAGGAAAATTGATGAAATGATCCAGCAGAAGGTCTGGGCTTTTAATGTGGACTATGCCTAGACTCCTCCAGAAGTCAAGAGGTGCAAATATTATCAGCTAGTTGTGTGAGAGCCTGTACAAATGGACTCTACACCCAGCTGGATGAGCAGCTGCATTAATAAAGGTGCTGGGAACAAGCCACACCAATAGGAGGGGGAGAAAAAAAAAAAAAGAAAAGAAAAAACAGCAGCTTTGTAGTTGGAGGTACACCATTGCTTGTTCTGCCCCTAAGATCATCAGGGTTAGGAAGTTGTTTCTGTGCCCAAGTAGGAGCAGCCCTGTGCTTGAAAGTACTGGCACACTGGGGTCCAATTAGTGGGGTTCAGCACATCAGTGGCATTCCTTTCTCCCTTGGAGATGTGCCCCATAAAGCTGTGTTTGTTTAGTCTGGCTGAATAATAGCTGAGCTGGAAGGTGGTTGGTGGGAGATAAACGCCAGGTAGAAGAGCGATTTCATCACATTATGGTGTTGGCGTAGAGACAAATGGATATAGTCCGGCCATGAATAAATACTGGGCTGGAAATGAGCACAGTCCAGGCCTGGAAAGCACAGGAGTCCTCCTATCATGGTTTTGGGGTGAGGGGAAAAAAAAAAAAAAAAAAGCTCAGATAATGTAAAGTGGGACTAGATAAGACAGCTGCTGGTGGGAGGAGGGAGCAATATATTAAATTTCTTATCAACACTCCTCTGCCAGAGCAGTGTGAGGAGTTCACTTTCTGCATAGGCAGAAGCTGTGGGGAGGCAACCTATTTATTTTCCCTGATACATAGTGGTTTAGTTACCCAAAGGAAAATACTTCATAATGAAGGCTACATCTTGTTGTCAGTGGTTAAAATATTGATACACTGCTGCTGGATAAAAAAATCAATGTATTCGGAGGGGTCTCTAATGATACTTTATGTAGTTCTGTGTATGGATGACTGATACCCTCCTGTACACAGATTTCCCTGGGATTTAAAAAGCTCACAAAAAAAATCAACAAAAAAGTAATTAATTCCCCTGGATGTTTTGTTCCATATACTGAGCTTTGGAACTACATAGAAACTAGGACATTTTTCTGATGTTTTTCAGTTAAAGTAATATCCCTGATACATACCAATCTTCCTCCATAATCTTTACAATATATCATTATATACCTTTTCATTCTAAGAAATGATGCCTATAAAAGCTATATTGTACCTGAATAGCTAATTAACTCTGAGCAGTGCGTTTTTTTGACCAATTCAATAAAAATGTGTGTTTCGGGTTCTCTCAGTTGAACCTTGTAAAATGAGTTTTTTAAAAAAAATTCTACGAGCTCTATGTGCTACGATTTATCTGTGATGTAATGAAAGACAAAGCTGTGTCCCAGAAGCGAGCAACAACACTGTTCCTGGGCAAATACAAAATAAAAGAGCTGTATTTCCAGCACAAGGTGTAAGGCCATGTTCTTTCCTAGAAGGCACAGTGAGGGTATCTCAATGGGGCGGTTGCATGTGAGCACTGCTTTGTTATGCCATAATTTTGGCAAGGGCATCACGAGAAGTGTCCATGCAAGTCATTGCACAAGCATTGGTATGTCAGCGCCCGGTGAAGTCACTGTACATGACTCATTCAAAGTGATGGATTTTTTAAAGAGTGACAAAACAAATTGTTCATCCAGAGCCTTAGGACCGTGTTACGTAAAGCACTGCAGAAGTTTGTGCCTAGAGCAGGGATAATGTAACGGCTTCCTGCACGTCCCCTGCCACCGCTGCAGCCTCCCACGGGGTGACCTGTGCTGGCTGTAACTCAGCAGGCTCAGCTCCACCACGGCTGTGGTTATCCTAGTTAGCCAGGGTCATGAGACTGAAGTCATTGCCATAGAAGAAACAGGAATCCTTCCTTCTTGTGCTTCTAGACCACAGGTCGCTTGCCTCTCCACTATCTGACTAGCCAGGTTTGCTTCTTTGCTCCTTGATGGACCAGGATAGGTGAGGCAGCCTCTCCTCTCACAGTAAAGATGTGTAAAAAAGGTGGGTGTCAGGGCTGCTGTATGTGAAGGTTATGGAAAGGTCTGTACACAATAACAAAGGTTACTATTTTTGTTTTTTTAATGTATTTCTTCTAAATGTAAGTGTTTCCACAAGTGCTTCTTTGTCATCCCCACTCCTTCTGGTCATCCATCTGCTATTCCCGCTACCTGTAATGTTAGAAAAGGATCATCTCAAGGTCATTGTCACATCACGTGCCAGTGCATCCTGATATATTCTCTTTCTCTTCTGTTGTTAGGTAGTGTTTCTTCAGTTACTAAAATTTCAGCTTTAGGTCATATCTTCTCTTTTTGTTAAATGTAAATAGGATTGTTTTAAGAAGCAATCCTTAGAATAACGTAAGGCAAATATGGACATTCAGGTCATTACGGCTACATGGGGTGGGGTTTGGATTACTCTGTAATAAGTTTTTAGGACTTGGGTTAAGATAGCAAGGCTGAGATTAAAGTACCCAGCAGTATGGATCTGGGTCCTTTTGTCCCTGGAACCTGCTTATCTAAGCTCGGGCGCTTGTATGAACAAGTCCCCTGGAATGTCACAGGTTCTGACCACAGGTCTGTGTGTAAAAGCATCTCTCGCTGCCTGATTTGCTCCTGCAGTTTATTTTGTTGAATATTTAACCAGCTACAACTCTGTGTGACAGCATTTCAAAACACTGGGCCTGGAAACATGGAGCGGGAGGCGTGGAAGAGGACGGGTCCCAACTAAACCCTTTCTACCAGTGCCAGAAAACTGGAGATGAGGTTCCTCCAAATCAGGAGGCTTTTATTTGAGCCTCCTGTGCTTTTATGCCATTAGGTGTCCCTCTAGGTTTTGACTTACCAACACCAGCCCCAACTTTTTTGGCAGGAGGCACCTTGGCCATATACAGAAATGAGAAATGCTGGGTTCCACCAAGGATGGAGTGTCCAGCCCCAAATCTTCTGGGCACTTTGAGGAGTTGAGAGCTTACCTCTGTAATAAGGACACTTGTGCTGCCCCTGGCTTTGTCGGCTGTTCTTTTAATTTAGAGAGAAGTGTATCTTGGAAAGGAGCTGGTGGCAGTGCCTGGGAGGGGAGTTCAGGTGCAAATCTGACAAGACACGTATAAATGTATATTTATATAAATGGCACGGACAAAAATAGCAGCTTTAAAGCACAATTATTCCCCTAGGTTGACACTCCTGCCCGCGTGCCCAGCAGCGTGTCAGCTTCTCAAGGAAAAAGCAGCAGTAGGGACAGCAGTTTCAAAACCTATTTTTGAAGTTTCCTGGCCTCATCCTGCAATGCTACTGCACCCAAGAAACCTTTACATGTGCAATCCAGCCCAGCTATCAGGGCTGAGTACCTAAGTGAGGAATGAGAATGAAATGCTGAGCTTGGCTCTTAGGGCAGATTTGAGCATGGGCCACGAGGTCAGCCAGGAGTCCTCATTCACCCCATACTGATTTCTGCATTTCAAGAAGAACTGCAGAAATACATCAAAGCTCAGCTTCTCTCAGAGCTGCTACTGAAATCCTGCCATTGTATCCCTTCACCAGGATGCTCCTGGTGCTGCTGTGCAGGCAGTTTTCCTGTGAGTGCTGTGGGAAAGGCTCCTTGGAGCCCTGAACACGCTCCTCCCTCCCTTACTCCAGCAGCAATTCCCACTCTTCCCAATAACCTTCAGCTTCCCTGAGCCTAAATGCATGACAAAGACAGACCTTTAAAAATGTTGGACAGAGACCCAAACTGAAGGGCACTGTGATAAATTCCAGCAGCGGTTTGACGTGATGGGAAATTCATTCCTCCCACATAAATTATTTTCTGCACTTTTCAGGCTTTAGCCTTTTACCGTGCATTTTCAGCAATAAACAATGAAATATGACATTATTTACTTGTGAAGCACTAATAATGCGTACCAGCCATAAAACCTGATGATGCTCCAGAGAGCATCCCATCACCAGCACAAACACGGGGAAGACGGAGCGTGCCAAGAGCTCACCGAGGTGCTGACCAGCCCTGCCCTCCATGCCTCGTGGTGCGAGCAACCCAATTTATTCCCTGCTCGCTTAGCTGCCCAAACGCATGGGATGGCCTCTGCTTTCAGGTTCATCTCCCCTGTTTTTATCAGCGTCCCTGAGATGCTCTGTCGATGCCTGACCCGCCTCATTTAGTGGCACGGCCCCGCAAAGCCTGGCTCATTTTGGGCTGTGAGATGGGTTGGAAGCTGAGCATCCCTGAGCCACGGGGCTCCTCCACATGTAGCTCGGCACGGCTCTGCTGCAGGGGCCAAGCATCGGAAGGGATTTTTGAGATGTGCACATGGATAACAACATAATGAAGTCTGGCTGCTTTAACTTTCCTGCATGATTTACTGTTTCTCTCGAGGTCTTTCATGTTGGGATTTGATGTGGCTCGACTTTCTGTTGCTGAGCTGCAGGGTAGCCTGGCTTTGGGTGGTCAGGTGCGGCACCGCATCCTTGTGCCCACACCACACCGTGTATCTCTGTCCCTGGCTCTGGGAGCTGGCTGCTCTGCAGCAGCAGCCTCTGCCTGGAGAAGAAGTTTGCAGGATGCACTTGTGGCATCCCGGTGGTGTCAGTGGTTTTGTTGTGCCAAACAAGGAAGGTTTCAGGTTAAATTAAAGGTGAAGCCTGGGACGCCCCTGGATGCTAGCAAACCTCTGAGCCAGAGGGATTCCCAGGTGTGTGATCATGCAGAAGGGCCAGCTAGCCCAGTAAGGACTTGGGCTAAGTGTGCTGGGTAGCAGGTCGTACTTCTTTGTCCCTTTGGGCTCTGGCAGTGTGAGGAGCCCAGCTGGCTCATCAAACAGTCAAAATACATCGGGGACAAGCGCTGGCAGAGCAGCGAGCCAGTTCGCGAGGGAGGAGGAGGAGGAACCTGGCCTCCTCCAAAGCAAACACAGAGCGGCTTTGGCCATATCTATGATCATTATTGGAGCTGTCAGACGAGATTCAATACAGAGCTTTAGATAGATGTATCGAGGCCAGCTTCCACGCTGACTTCCCCCAGCAGCGAGGGAGCCTGGCTCCCATCTCATTTGTGCTCATTTAATCCCATTGATCTCTGCAGAGCCTGGGTGAGGAGTGCAGCAGAGCAGGGGGACAGGACGAGCACATGGGGACAAGCTCTTCCAGAAGGAAAGATTTGTTCCTAAATCAGGTCACTGGGAAGCTGGACCTATCATTTTCTGATTTCTAGCCTTCTTTCCCTGCAGTACTTCTAGCAGCTTGTTTTAACTGTTTCACTCCATCTTCAGGTTATACTGAGAAAGGGAAATTAGTATTTTAGAAGAATTCAAGCAAATATTTCTGGTTTTTAGCTGCGCGGCAGTCAGTCTCAAAGGGATAGGGCCATGTCAGTTCTCCTATCTCTTAAAAAAATATTGTGTCAGAAGTGGGATCCCTGTGGGGTCTGAAAGATATACGTTGAGTAATTATAAATTTCTGTAGAAAATGAGAACATGCAGAGGAGGCAGTCAGTTTGTTCTAGGACCCAAAACCACAGCTCAAGAATTTGCTGTCCAGATTAATTAGAGAGCTGGAAAGGTTGCATATGTGATTACCTTTTTTTTCCTTATCTTGTTCCAAAGTCCATGCAATATCTACAGTGCTTCAGAGTTATATATGCTTTAAAAAAAAAAAAAAAATCAATAGTAGCGGAGTAGCAGAGTTCTTATTATCACCAGCCTACAAATAAAGCTGTATGAGAAGCAGGGGGAGAAAGACATTGGTATGGAAACAGGCTTCACCTTTACATTTATGTGTGGACTTGCCTGTAAGAAAAGCTATGGAAAAATCTCAAAAATTACTGAAGGAAAATGATAAAAACAAAACAACAACAACCCCATAACCCAGCACTGTCAGCTCCTCTAGCTGAGGCATAAGAAAGCAGTTGTCTGAGCATTCTTGTGTGAAAGACGTGTTGGTTTTTGGCTTGGCCACCAAATTCTGTCTGGGATCTCCTGTACCTTTTTCTCCATGGATAAGAGCTGTTTAACCATAGGTCTACGCTTGGCAGGACCCCAGGAAAGAGGCAAGCCTCTCCTTTGCACCCCGGAGATGAAATAAAGATAGCTCTAGACATCTCTCCCAGGGCACGTGGATATCAAGCAGTTGTTGCTGCTTGAATCGCTCTCCTCAAGTGTCAGCATCAAGGCAGAATGGACACCTCCAGAGGATGCTCTGTCCCATCCACCCCACGGGGAACTCATCGCAGTTCAACTCCCTTGCGGTCACCACCGGCCGGACCTTTGGGTTGAGGAAGGTGTCATCAGTGCACGGAGGATGCCACCGTGCCACCGGGGCACTGTCACGTACTGGCACCTGCAAGCAGCAGGCTCAGCAAATTTGGACCGTGCCCTTTTCGCTCCCTGTGATAAACACCCCGTCACGGTGGTTTTACAACGTGGCTCGGAACAGGATCTGCCCTTTGTTATCCCAACGAGGTCGAATTGTTGCCAGCACACAGCCACGAGTCACGGCAGGTTTCGATCGGGATTTCTGACTCCTGAACGAGGACTGATGAGGCTCCCGGTAGCTCCCATTAATCTTATTCCCCCCAAGCAGTGCATGGCTGCTGTTGCAGAGGTTTTGTGTTCTCCCTGGCTCATTTGCATGAGGTGTGACAGTGCTGCAGGTCTGACAGAGGGGACAGGGACGGGAAGGAACTCACCTGGGTTTCAGGCCACTTCTCTCACCCTTCTCAGCTCGCGAGGCTTTCCGCTCCACGCTGCATGGTGTAGGTCTCTCTTCAGCACTTCAGGAAGCTTTCAGACCAATTAAATCCTTAATGATCACCTCTCAGCTCCTGGTGTGGTGGCAGGCCAGCTGCGTGCCTCCACACACAGCGTCAAAGTCACCTGGGACAAGGCAAAATTCATCTCCCTGCTCTCCTCCCTATCACACCCTGTCCAAGGGCACAGCCCCGGGGAGCCAAGGGGATGAGTTTCCTATCGAACCTCGCATCCTTCCGATGTCAAAACGCTTTGTGCAGCCAGGGCCTGTAGGGAAGCCGAGCTGCTGGTTATGTGATCGATGAAAAGTTTTACACGGAACCTTGGATGCTCACAAAAGAGGGGAAAGGATGTAGCTGCAACAGCTCTTCGCGTGAAAACAAGATGTTTATTGGTATTGAAACACCCCGCTAGGCTGAAATCAGATGCCAAGTGATGTGAGCTCGAGCCAGCATGGGCCTCGCTTGGTGGGGGGTGAGGGCAGGCTGGCTTTTTGCATAGGACTCTCTAAAATTTCCCTGTCATTACGTGTAATAATAGAAGGATAAGTGCACAGCATGGTGAGACGATTGAGGTTGGAGCCAAGGGGGACAGAGCCAATAACATCTTATGCATTTTTCCTGTCATATGAATTCTTCACACCTTGAACTACTTTTCCTTGATTTTCTTCTTCGTCTTTTCTTTTTTCTTCTTTTTCTTTTTTTTTTTTTATTTTATTGAGGCAACAGCCAATAAAAGAAACTAATGGGTTAGAAACCACGTAAGCAGTCTCCCACTGCGCTTTATTCCCCACAGGCTCTTTGCATCAAAGGGAAGGCAGCAAAATAGGGCGACCAAGCACTACGTAGGAGTCAGAACGAGCTCTCTGCTCCCCACTCCTTGCCATGTACAGGGATGTCACCCTGCCAGCGAGGGCTGCTGGCCTTGTGAGGACACTGGCAGGCACCTGGCTGGGGATATCTCAGGGCCTTACACAGGGCATGTAGTGCCTGATTTCATTCCACATTCCTCCTTCCCCATCTCTTCATGTGCAAACCTGCTGCTCCATGCTCTCGCTCCCTCCCCTGCCACCTCCTCGCTGGGAGCAGAGGCTCCTTGCCAGCTCCTCTCCCTGTATTTCAGTCCCCTTCTCTAGCTGGGGGTGCACAGACACCGCTTGTCCTGGTTGTCTCCTGCTTGACCTTTCATTAGGAAGGATAATTTCAGACAGACCTCGTTCCCACACACAGCACCGTCCTTTCCTCGCCCCAGCGTACCGACCTCACAAATGTTGAATTAGCAAATCCGGGCCTCGTGGACACAGCAGACATTATTTCCAGCTCATTTCAAGTTTTACTCCTCTGCTGTTTTTTGTCGCGCTCCGTTCAGCACTTGGTGATTTTGCTCCATAACAATGGGATCAGTGTCTGGTAATGAGTGTGAGCCACAGGGCTGCATCCTGCAAAACTGGGACACGCTGGTAAAATGCTGACTGTGCCCCCCTTCCTGCGAGGCATTAACCCTGAGATTTTAAGGCAGCGGAGAGGGGATGAGCCCTGGTTATGGGAGATCTGTGGGAGATTGCTGGAGACCTGCTCTCCCACCCTGAGCAAGCCGTACTCATGAAGCTGCTCTTAATTTTATGTCTTATTTAGCCACCAGCAGTGCTGCCGGTAGCAAGCACTGAAAAGATGAGGGGAAGAGCATTAGGAGACAAGTCTTATTTACAGCTTGGAAAATCCGCATTTTAGAGCAAGGCACCTTAGTTAAAAACTGGGAAAGACAAAGGGGCACCTTGCAAGGGTGTGTGTTGCCTGGGCAACTAGCACAGCATCTGCAGCCCTGCAGCCCCTGCAAACGTCCTCGCCGTGCTGCTTTGCTGCACGCTCACGCCTCGAGTTTCGCTCCTGCTCGTGTCCGCCTCTGCTTCGCTGAGCTGCCGGCTGGGGAAACGGGTAGGGTCTGGCACAAGGAGTCTAAGTATGCTGCTGGCAAGAAATGAATCTTCCTCCAGTCTTTCAGCTTGCCTAAGCTGCTGTGTTTTGCAGAGGCTCAGCCCTATGCTTACACACGCTGCGGGCTGCACCCATGTGCACCTTCAGATAGAGCTGGGTTCATTCGTGTCCTCTGCTCAGAGCTGAATCCTGCGTATCTGGCTGTGCCTGGTATCAAAGTTACATTTATGTAGTAGTTAGGCTTGAGGACAGATGCTTGCCTCTTCTTTTTCTGCTCCTTTTTTTTTTTTTTTTAAAAAAAAAAGAAACAACACTGTGAAAGAAAAACACACTCATCTTGCAGAGATGGGAGCTCTCTTGACAGCAAAACAGCATGATGGATGTGCCAGGGCATCATTTCATCAGAATATCAAGCCATGAGGTTGGCTACTGCCATTCATTCTTGTCATTTGAATCCTCTTGATGTGTAAGATGACATTAAAATCCTGTAAGAGAGAAGTGCTGCGGCTCTCCTTGTCAGGGCAGGCTGTGCTGGTGCGTCCCGCCAGCCTGGGCCAGAGCAGGCAGAAGGCAGCTCTTCCTCGGGCACGAAGGTAAAACAAAAAAAGCCTGCTGGTACTTTGTGCCAGTCTGGCTCCATCTTCCAAACAAAGGTAAGGACAATTCTCAGCTGCCATGAACATAGGAACAAACTGTCACGGCATTTTATTTTTTTTCAATTTTCTTCACCCTGTTCATGTAAAAAGTTGGGGTTGTTCCCTTTGCTGGTGGCAAAAGAGATCTGCTTTTCTTGAGCCTGTTGCTGTTCTCTGCCTTTTTCTTTAACATCTTGAGCAGTGGGCCAGTGGCCAGGTTTCTAAAGGTGTTTAAGCATCAACAGATGCAGCTGGGTACCTGGAGGGATTTTTCAAAAGCATCTTGCTGTAATTGTTTATGATATTCTGCACTCCTGTCATGATCTCTTCGGCAGCATCACTATTCCTGCCAGCATTGCATTTTCTATTGCAGAACTGAGCTGAATTTTGCTTCTTTTCTTCCTCCTAGCCCCGGAATTCCAGGAAGATGTACAAAGAGAGAACAAAACGGGCAAGATTTGCTGCGGATGGTTATATCTGTGGAGATTTTGGTGTCCTCATAAATACCAACAGCATGCTGACAAGGTGCGTGCTTTCATCTACAGCAGCAAACTCCAGTACAAGCAGGGCATTTTCATAGATGTGATCTTGGACCGAGAAACACAGAGAAAAATCAGCCGCTTAGTCCCTTTGAAATGCAAACTATTCCCATGTTGCAACATCGTGCCCAAATTTGCTAGCGGATTTTGAGCACCTGCGTGCTCGCTTAGAAGCAGCAGTTGCTTTGCAGAGAGCTTCCTTCTTGCTTTTGCCTGTGATGAGACAACGGAGTCACAGTAAATTCTGGGGGTGACAGTTGTATTGTCATTAACTAACTGGGTAAAAACCCAACAGATTTCAGACAGATCTGCAGAAAGCCCCATCCCCTGCCCTGGGACGAGCTGCAGGCGAGGTTGCATCGCGGGGCGGTGATCGCAGCGAGTGGGTGTGCAAGCTCCATCCTGCACTGCCATCTATAGCGCGGCGCTGAGCACAGCAAACGGCACAAAGCAGACCTGAATGCCCCCAAATCCTTTGTGCAATTAATTAAAGAGGGGATGCAGGGAGCAGGAGGGCACCTCTGCCTCCGTGGCCTGTGCCGTGTGTTGGACAGGATGCGAGCAGCACGCTCAGGGTGTAAGTCCCATCTGCCCTCCTCTCTGCCTGCCCCTCGTCTTCTCTTTTTGTTTGCAAAACAATTTCATCCCCTCCAAATCAATACAGAAATGGCCAGCTTTCTCCAGAGGGCAGCTCCAGATACACCAAATCAGAGGCGTGAAACCAAAACCCATTTTGACTCTGATGAGCAAAGGGAATTTCTTTTATTTTTGATTTTTAAACCAGATGTTGCTTTCATGCTCTGAAACCTCTGAAACAGCTGAATGGATTTTCTTCAAACTCCTCGCACGCACAAAAATTCACCTTTGGGCTGTGAACAAGCTTAAGAAATCGCAGCGCGATGGAGATTTTTTTATTCCTCCCCTTGTCCTTTTTTGATTTGGAAAGTTAAAAGCATCCTAAAATAGAAGCTGAGAATTGGATTAAACGTCCCTTTGTTAACTCTAGCACTGCTTCCAAGTCTGCAATTATCCTTTCTTAAGGTCCCTGGTTCCCATCCCTCTTACACTTCCAGCTGCCACATTTTTTATTAAAATAACTACCATGGCTACAATGAGGACCAGCTCCTCCCTGATGCCAACCAAAGAGGGAGCTTTCCGAGATGGATGAGAGAAAACCCAAGTCTGGCCTTATTTCATGTCTCCACAACTCACCCATGATGCTGGGGACAGAGAGCAGGGTGGCAGGAACTGGGGAGCCCTAAACAGCTTCCAACAAAATGGTCTTGTGGGATGCCCGACCCCAATGACAGCCTCACCCTAGCACTCATTACTGGTCTTGAGAGATGTGTATGTGGCTGACTGCAGTCCCTTTTGGTATCATATAGGAATATCCAGGAGCCTTGAACTCTCAGAAAACATCTTCATTGACAGGAGATGGACCAAAACCATCAGGTCCTGCTCTCATCATTGATTTTCAGCAACCCTCATCCGTGCTGATGAAATGTCTTGCATGAGTAAGTACTCCCAGCCTGAATACAGAGCAGATGAAGCCTGGTGTTGGTATGGGAGTAAAGCAGGGGAGGCTCTGCAGGTGCCTGAATGATGGATTTCAGACACCCCAGGAGCTTGGAGATTGAGGGAAAGCTGTTCACAGCATCCAAAAACGACTTGGTGAGAGCAGCCCGTGATGCTAACAGCCTGAACAGGCTCCACGCAGACCGATGCGATGGTCAGCTTGGGCACTGGCTGCTGTAGCAGAAAACAAAATGCTAAATGAAGCCCTGGGAAGCAAACCTCACACTGAGCCTGGGCTGTGGTTGAGCAACTCACAGGGAAGGAGACAGGAAAGGTAAAGCAGAGACAGGTTTTTATCATTTTAGCTAATGAAACGAGCCGTAAACGTCACCTGTTTACACCTCCCGTAATTCCTCTCCTTGTTCTTGCAAGCCCAATTCAATTTTCTTTTTATCCTTGCGTATGTATCGGTAAATAGCCAATTACTAGTGTTGGCCCCTGCCAATAAATTGCTTGCTTTTTATTTGTTCCCCTTCCTTCCAGAGCCCGTCGGCATTAAGCACTGCTGCGGTGTGCAGAAGGGGTGGAGGGCACATAAAGCAAGTCATTACTGAGCGTGGCCTCTCTTCTTGCACAAGGAGCATTCGGAGGATGCAAACAGCTGGAATATGGGTAATTCCATGACCATAAAAACTTTATTTTACTTTTATTGCTATCGAAAAGCTCCGGATAGGTGCATCTCTCATCCAGCTGATTAACCTGAGGTTAGAGCAGATGTGCGCCTCTGTGCACCGGCAGTGTCGTACCTCAGCCTCCCTCCGAAAGAAAACCAAAGGCGAAGCATTGCTGGCATGAAGAGACAAAGAATAGCCTCCCTTTTTCATCTGGCACGCCGGCGCAGCCTCGCTACGCCCACTTCGGCTGCTTTCAGCTCCCACCGTGCCTCCCGGTTGCCTAGCAATCCTAACAATATTTTATGAGGCTTTATTCCAGGGGCACGGCGTATTAATGCCGAATTTTAGCGAGGCGCTCCAGGAGAAGCAAGGAGGAGGCCTGAGATAACATCACATCGATTTATTACAGGCAGGCTAGGGGGAGAAAAAGAAAATGCCAAGTGGTGATGATGGGGATTTAGCAGTGAGAGCTGAAGAGCTGCTGGGAGCAGCGTTTGGGCGGATGATGTGTTGTACCAGCATTGTCTGAGCAGGAAACCCCTGCTGAAATTATCCCATCTAGGTATCCAGATTGCTTCTCTGCAAGTTTGGGATGCTTGGCCAGGGTTTTCCAGCAGTAGCTCTGGGGAGGGTGATGCCCGCGGGCAGGTGGAAGGAGGCTGGAGGGGATGAAACCCACCAGGTGCTGGTGAGGAGCCACCAAATTTCCTTCCACCCTGGGCAAAATGAGAACGAAGGTGCCAAAATGCATGAATCTGTTTCAAAGCGCATTCCCTTGGCTTCTCCCTTACTATCCCCAATCAAACATATAACCTGGGGTTATATTTTATACCATTAATTAACCCCTTGGGGTTAGGTTCACATTTTCTGAAGGCTACAGAGTTCCTATTTTCTGTTTTAGTTTGGCTGGCACAAACTTCGTCTAAAACCCAAACTTGCTATAATGGCTACTCTTAATGTTTGGTGTTGGTTTTGTTTTAAGCCTGCCTTTAAAAAAGAAAAACAGCACCCTTAATTTTAGCAAAGATTACTCCATAATAGTAATCTCTTGCTAACATAAACTGAATTAGATTCAGCCATTTAACTCTTACATAATTATTATTTTGTTGATGAAGAATGACCTTCGGTTACGTTCTGCAACTGTTTCATTTCTGCAAAACATGTATTTATAAAAAAATCAATAGAAATGTTTTTGTCTTCTTATGTCTTTCACCCTATTTTTGGAGTTTTTTTTCTTTTAAATTCCAGGGTACACGTTTTTTGTCTAGGCAAATAAACATGTCCCCTCCTGCTTGTAAAGCAAGCACATTAGCATGAGGGTGCTGGTAAGTGAAAATTACTCTAAACAAAAGTGAAACCTATTTCATTGATTTTTTTCAGTGGCCAAGCTGAAGGACAAGTAAATTGGATTTTTAAAATCCTTTCACTTTTAATACTGTATGGTATTATTAGTAATGTGAGTAAGTAAAACAGTTTATAGCAGATGTTTTTCTAAAGCTGACAGTGTGCCCTTAGAGTGACACGCAGTGATTGTAAATCTGGCATTTTCCAGCACGTAGAGCAAATGCCTGTATCACGCTAACATATCCAGCCAATGCAACCAGCTGCAAGGGGGAGAGCGGAGCGGGAAACAGGACGGAGTTTCACACTTCATCCAGGATTTTACTGGGAAGCAGGGTTAGTGCTGGAAATATAATTGAAGGTTAGGTTTGCTCAGTGCTTTGGAGGGCCCTGCAAAGGAGCAGGATGTTTACAGGGGACTCTCCCCAGCGTCTGCTCCAGCAATCCCAAAGGATGCTTGGAGCCCACGGAAAGTAAATATATTTTACAGGTGCCTTTGTTGGCCCCTGCTTAATAACCCTGAGAGAGCCAGACCTGCAAACAGGTCCCAGTGACTTCAAATCTCCTCTGCGGGATGAGGCGTAGCAGCTGGAGACCAGGGCAGTTCCCATGCGGGCCCCTGCTCACCTTGGCAGGTCGGTGTCAGGACGCTGCACTCTTCATTTCTGTCCTTGGTTTTCTGGCATTATTGGAAAGGAAGCAAAGCCACATGAAGAATGGCCACCGTGTTCTTCCTCTAGGTCCAACCCAGCTGTTTTGTTTGTGTTTTAAGGATGTTTGGAGCCAGCTGCCTGGGTCAGAATGGCTGAATCCAGACCTTTTCCTTTTTTCTTGGCATGGCTCTGCCCAGGGTTGGTTTTATTTTATTTTACTTTTTTCCTTTTGAAGGGCATCTTTTGGTGTGTCGCTCTTCACCAGCAGGTTGATGGCTGATTAAATCAAATTAAAAAGGAGGAAGCTGATTAAAAAGAAGGTTATCCATTGCTGGAACAGGGATCTGCTCAAGAAGTGCTTGAATGCAATCGCTCCAAATGCCTGGGATAACACAGGGTGGAGGCTGCTGTGTTGTTCACAGCACAGAGGTTGTGAATGCCTTCCATGCCCATGCCGTGGGTCATGGATCTGATTCCAGATCACCCAGACCTTCCGTGTGGGCTCTGTGCCTGTAAAAATGCAAGAAGGAAGCTGGGATCAGGTGTGGCCGCTGTGGTTTGGGCAGCGCGTGGCACCCGCTTTACAGAGCTGCAAATCACGAGGGATGTTGGGACAGCAAACATGCAGGCCCTGGCCTTCCTCTTTACATGTTTTGTAATAATACAGGGTAAATTCTGTAGCTTTACTGGCTTCTCCAGCTTCTCGGGCAGGTTGTAAAGCAAGATACTTCAGATCAGCTGCTTCCAGCCCTCCAGACACTGCACAGAGCTTGTTTTCAGCAGCAGACAGGCAGTATATGCTACAGTTGCTCATAAAAGTCCAAAAACATATTCCTTTCAGGCTGAAATGTTTCATGTTTGATATCAGATTTTATATTTATTGGTTCAGTTGTTTTTAGCTGTTGAGAAGTTTGTGTTTTATTTTTCTTTCTCTGTTCACATTGATGGAAAGCGAGAAAATGAGATCACTCAAAAACGGACCAAAGCAAATAATTCAGAGCTGGCTTGTGTTATATATTTCACCGAGGCCTGAGTTTCAAGCCAAACTGAAAGAAAGTTAGCGGAGTGGGTTTAAAGCTCAAAACACACACAACAGTGCAAAGTTTATGAATTATTTTAACTGCAACCTGTGAAATGGGATTGCTTTTGTAAAATTATCTCGACAACAAATGGTCTCGTTCAAGGCTTTCCAAAATGGGTGATCGTACATCAGGCAGTCCCTGGCATGGATTCTAGAACAGCGACAGCATATCTGCATTGGGAACGAGCAGATCATATAATATTTTAGGCAACGGCAGAGTCTGGGCATCAGATGTTCCTGGGTCTTTATTGTGTTTCGGAGAACTTGCTGTGAAAATACATTTCTGATAAGTGTGATTTGAAAAAAAAAAAAAAAAATCCCTTTCTGAAACCTAAATAAGCTGTGAGAGAAATATTTCCAGCATCGTGGAGCTTACAGTAAACAGGATGGCAGCTGATTCAGAAAAGAAACAAATTGATTGCAATAGAAAGAACAACCTCCCTGGGTGGTGCTGCTCCCAGGAGGGAGCTGTGGGATGCAGCGTCTCATCGAGCCCCATCTCACAGGTGCTGAGCCCTGCTCAGCCCCCAGCCCCTCACAGGGGGCAGCCCTGGCTTTTGGGGTCTGTGCTGTTCAAGGGGCAGGTCCCACGGTCTGCCCACCTTTTTCTGTCTCTGATGTTGCTCCCTTCAGCCTAGCAGCCTGCTGGCATCAGGAGAAATGGTGTTTGGCACCCCTTGTGAGCTTTTGGGACCGGGAGTGTTCCCAGCACATCGCTGAATCACCAGTGTTGTTTTCCTCAGCCTTCTGCTGATTAAAAGCTGTGCAGGAAAAGAAAGAGCCCCTGTATCAATGCATCACCTCCTCCACAGGCCGGCCCTTTCTTATCAGCCCATCTGGATCAAACCCCAGCTCAGAGCTGCTGTGAAGGATTTGTAAAGCTGTTCTGGTTGAGGAGGGGTATCTGTGGCTGTCCCTGAGGAGATCAGGGCTCTGCTGCCCTCCCCAGACCCTCAGCAGCAGGTTGCATCCTTGCTGCTGCAGGCTTCACAGGTCAGGCACCCACACTGTGGCTGAAGTTTCTGTAGATATATGAGGGCTGTCCCAGGTCAGGGCCGAGGGACATCGCTGGGGAGGCACACGGATCAGGGTTAAAAGCACAGAGCACTCAACAGGATTGAGAAAACAGGTACAAATCCCGTGGGAGGCTGGGGCAGGCACCGTGCCTGTGTGCGGGACAGATAGCCTCGTGTGTTTCAAAACAAACCTGGCAGCCCAAATTTGATTTGACTTCTTGCAACAGCTTGGTTAAGAAGAAAATCCTAACAAAGGAGCATGAGAGCAAACCCCCTTTCGCTCCCATGTCACAGTGTTGTGATTTCAGAGACAGAAAAGGGAATTAAAACCCATCCAAGTGGAGAAAGAAGTGAGGCCGCTCCCGCACACAGGTGTGTAAGGGAAGGCAGCTCCCCACTTACAGGGCATGGTGCTCATCACTCGCATCTGCTTCCAATCAGCTTGGACAGAAGCCATAAAAGTGTTTAAAAGCTGCTTGATGGCTGAGAGAAGGGCAAGAGAAAGAGGTTGTGGGGAGCCGTGCAGGAGCAGTTGAATTGGAGGGAACGCTGCCCTCTTCTTTATTTCATCTAGGTATGTGTGATGGACCCAAAGCGTCTGCTTGCTCGCTAACGATGCACGCTTTACATCCCCCTTAACCCGATCAGGCTGAGAAATGCTGGACTAGGCTTGCACGGAGACAGCAGAGCCTCTTTTACTTGGAGTAATTGCTTTCCTTCGCTCCTCTCCTCCTCCTTCCCTGGGTCAGGGCTGCGCGCATTAGGCTGGCTTTCATTGTTAGCATCAATGTGTTGTCTAGCTGCTGGGTAAATACATCAAGCGGCTCATGCCCAGCATGCAGTTCACATCTTTCCTCTCTGCCGAGGCTGCTTTTCAATTACGCTTTGGTCTGGGGGTAGAACAGATTTCCTGCGGTGTTGAAGCTGGGCAGATTCTTTGCTGAATTGGGGCTTGATAAATATGTATTCTGTCTCGTGCATCAGGATGGAGAGAAACAGCCCCGTGAACTGCTTGAGAAACGCAGCATTTAACTTACAGAAATTAAGTGTTTTTAAGCAGATGCCACCCAGCAGATAGATCTAGAAACGTAGCCTTTTATCACCATTTTTATGAGATTTGTTTGCCCAGTGCAGTGATATCTGGGTGACCAGAACAACCCATTGAATTCATTTGACCACAACTGATAGCACGGAACAGATTCCTGCTGTATGGTGCTACATGAAGACAGTCAGCAATGACACGCTGCCAAGCAAATGTTTGACAAAGGAAAGTCGGGTTCTGTGCCCTTCTCTGCACGATGCTGGGTCTGTCCTCGCTGCTTGCTGTTCCTGTCCCTTTCCCAGCTGCTTTGAGCATTTAATTTCCCCTCCCAGCTCAGGCTGGCCTATTGGCACAGGGGTGGTGGCACAGGGCAATGCCTCAAAAGGGCGCAGGGTGTCACTGCAAAGGGTTTCGCCTGCAGCAGGTTATTTCTGCCTGTGCACAGGCTGTGTAGGCAGGGTGTGGGCATCCCACATCTGGCCGGTCTGGAGCACAGAGAAATAGCTGGAGATGGCACTTTTTTGCACAGCTCCAGTTCCTAGGCATATTGAAGGGGTGGCACAGGGACCGTGGTGTCATCCCCCCCACCCTGTCCCATCCCCAGGGGCTGCGGCTGTTCCCGTTTTGTGGTATCCACCTGGTGGCTCCCGGCCACCTGAATGTTTTGGTATGCAACTTGTAGAGTCAGGAAGTTTGGCCACACCTGCAGATGCATCCATCCAAAACCTGCCAAGGAAAATGAACCACTTTAAAGTCAATCCAGCCATACGGAATGAGATTAATTCAAACTATTCGGAGTGCATTTACATCAGGTGTTTACACTGGGATAGCCGGCTTGACTTTAAGCAGGATTAGGCGATTGGAGGAGCGCAGTGCATTTCCTTGTCTGAAGGGCCCTTGGTTTGATGCTGTTGCGGGGTGGATTAGAGCTGAGCAGAGCGTCAGAAGCTGCCGAGCACAGCGTGCTGCTGCTCGCCGTGCACTGAGCTCAGGGAACGGATGCCGCAGGCAAGCGGGCTGGTGAGACACAATGCGAAGCATAACCCGCCAGGCAGCCAGGAGGAACCCCGTTTCTTTCTGCCACCTGATCGCGTTCTGCGTGAAGTTGGGATTTATCTCAGCAGCGCTTCCAGCGTAAGCAGCAAATTCCTCTCGGAAGAAATTTTCAGGCAGAAAGAAAAAGATTTGTCGGAAGAAACGCAGATGCACACTGGCTGATTCATGCAGCGAGAGTGTCTCGGTGGGGGGGGGGTGGCTGTGACACGTGTGAACGAGCCCTTCGGCATCCCCAGCTCCGCTCTCCTGGTGCACAGATGCTGTGTACGAGTTATTCTCCAACTGGAGCTGCAGAAATCTGTAGCCTATACCCAGTGTGGGACAGGTAATGGGATGCAGCCCTTGCAGCGACACGTCTCTTGGCTGTACATCAGTTGTCCACGTGGGTCCCCAGGGCTGCTGGTACCTCCTGTGTGTGGAACGAATGCATCACAGCCCATTTTCCTATGCAGCTTTGGAAATATTTACTGACGCTGTCTGGGAACTGCCTCACCCTAGTTCTGATATTTTCGGGGCCCTGCTGAATGAATGGCACAGTGCTGGGTTCTGGAAGAGCCTTAGACACAAGCTAAAATCCACACCCCTCCAGTGCTGCTTTCCCTTTCTTTGGGCAGCTCAACAGTTGCTCCAATATAGCGCCTGGTTTCACTTTGCCTGTCTGCACATGCACGCCTACCAGCTTGGGGCCATTTTTAAGCATGCTTAGCAGTACTCTCACCATGGTGCGAACAGACAAAAGGCATGAGCCAGCTCTGATGTCAGGCAGCGTGTGACACTGGCTCTCACCTACCAGATGGCTATGTTACTTGGTGGCCACAAGCATTTGCTGATGCTGAGCAATCTGGGGCAGGACAGGAGCTTGCATGCCTGAGAGGAGCAGCTGCCTGCTGGAGCCCAGGTTACGCAGCGCATGCCACTGCTGTGAGCCATGGCCCCATTTATTTGTTCCTCGATGTCTGAGAGTGCTATTTTAGCAGTAATTTAATTCGAGGCCACTTCTGTCCACCTCCCTCCTTCCCAAGTCCCCTCCAGGGATGCCTTTACTTCATCTCCTGCCCTGGAGACTGAGACCCTTTGCTGTGCCAGGCTCAGTCCCACTGAGAGCAAATACTGCTGCATAGGAAATGATATTGGTGTTGTGTTTTTTTTAAAGTGGCACTGGTCTTTCTTCCTTTCCACTGGTATTGAACTGTAGTGGCAAAGAGCACTCTAACCGAAGACAATGTCTCGGGTGAGATGTCTAACTCAGGTCCCAACTGCTCAGCAGTCATTAAACATCTCAGGGAAGATGTTCCAGGAACGGGGATGTTAACCTTGTGGTCTTGGACCAATTCCAGCTCGTTTAATTACAGTCTTCATATCTGAAATTTGCTCTGCACTTTTGACCGGTTATGGGATTATTTTTTTCCCATCTCCTGTAAGCTGTTGAGCAGCCTTGCTAAGAGCTGTCACACTCCCCACGTGAGCCAAAGCAATAAGCAATTATGGCTGTTCCCTCTCTCAAGATTTTCAAATTTATTGTATTTTCTGGTTACTTAACAATTTGGGATTCTGCATAGTGTCACTGGCTTGCCTATGCAGAAAAGTTTTACCTTTTCAATCTGGATATCCTAACCAGTAGAGTATACATGATCCACAGATGTGGTGGTGTTGCAAAGAACATGACCTTTATTAAGTAGGTAATATAAATAACTTCAGGAAAAATAAAAAATAAAGGGTAATTTTAATTAGTACAGTAATGCAAGCTAAACAACCCCCATACACACACACTCCCTTACACTGGAGAACTGTGCGTGTATAAAGCCTACTTTTTAAACTCCCACCTTGGTGTAGCAGGGATGTTTTCCCCTTGGCAGACAGTTCAGGGGATTACGATTGTGTTGGAATTAAATCTCCGTGTAGTTGTATAATGGTTAGGGGTGATGCCAGGTGGTCTCACCAGGTGTAAGGCAGCCTGAAGCATGGCAGCCCTGCTTCTCTGTGGGGCCCCAGGGCCACACCAGGCGGGGAAGGCCAGGGGGGACCTCTGTAGGAAATGGGGGGCTACAAAATCAACTTGGGCAGCCCCTTGGGGTGCTGCTTCAACGTGTGGAGCCCACTGTTGTGGGCTTTTCCCTCTCATCCTCTCCAGGGGGAAGAAATAGGGGGATGAGAGGAGATGGGGGGCAACCTGAGGAGGGATCTGAGCCATGTGAAGGGGAGACTGAGCCCCCTTGGGGGGTATCTGAGCCACATGAGGGGGTGTCTGAGCCTATTTGGGGGTGTCTGGGCCACCTTGGAGGGGGACTGAGCTGCCTGATGGGGGATCTGAGCCCCCCTGTGGGGTGTGTGAGCCACCTGAGGGGTGTCTGAGCCCCTTTGGGGGTGTCTGGGCCTCCTTTGAGGGGGACTGAGCCCCTTTTGGGGGTGTCTGAACCACCTTGGAGAGGTACTGAACCGCCTGAAGAGGGATCTTAGCCCCCTTGGGGGGCGGCTGAGCCACCTTGGGGGTGCTCTGCGCCCTCGCACCCTCCACCCCCCAGCCCCTAAAAGCGGTCCGCGGGCCACCTGCCCCGACTAACGGCGCTTCGAGGCCCTCTCCCCGGAGCAGCAGCACCCGAGACCGGGCAGCGATCGCTCCGCAGCCCTGCAGGCGGCGCTGCGAGCCCCCACCACCTCCGGCCCTCCACTACAGCGCTGCCTGGGCCGGGCCCTGCCCGGCGGAGCTGGCGGGGAGGCGGCAGGCAGGGGAAGAAGAAGGCAGCGGGGCTCGGCTCCTGCTCCGCCCCGCTTCTCCTCCCCTCCCGACCGCCCCGCCGGCTCCGCCCCGGAGGCCGGCACGCTGGCTCGCTCGGTGCCTGGGAACATGGCCGAAGTCGGGGAGGACAGCAGCGGGGCGCGGGCTCTGCTGGCGCTGCGCTCGGCGCCCTGCAGCCCCGCCGCGGCGCCCCCTCCCGGGCCGCCGCCGCCCCCGGCCGGGCCGCCCGGTGCTGCTGCCTCCTCCGCTGCTACCGCTGCTGCTGCCTCCTCCTCCTCCTCTTCTTCTTCCTCCACCACCACCACCACCACCTCTTCCACCGCCGCCTCCAACTCCGGGCCGGTGCTGGCTCGGCTGCAGGGCCGCGAGTTCGAGTTCCTCATGCGGCAGCCGGCCGTCACCATCGGGCGCAACTCGTCGCAAGGCTCGGTGGACGTCAACATGGGGCACTCCAGCTTCATCTCGCGGCGGCACCTGCAGCTCAGCTTCCAGGAGCCGCACTTCTACCTGCGCTGCCTCGGCAAGAACGGCGTCTTCGTGGACGGAGCCTTCCAGCGCCGAGGCGGCCCGGCCCTGCTGCTCCCGCCGCAGTGAGTGGGGCTGGGCCGGGGGCGGCGCCCCCCTGCGGGAAGCCCGAGGGGGTGAAGGGAGGGGAAGGGGTCGGGTTTTTGGGGGGTGAACCCCCCGCTGGAGGGTGCTGAGGGGGTCCCGCTGGGGAAAAGGGGGTCGGGGGGGTGGTGAAAAGGGTGGCCTGTGGTTGGGGTGGGGGTCTTGCTGCCCGCTGGGGGGCTGCTGTTGAAGGAGGTGGGGTTACAGAATCACAGAATTTCTAGGTTGGAAGAGACCTCAAGATCATCGAGTCCAACCTCTGACCTAACCCTAACAGTCCCCACTAAACCATATCCCTAAACGTCTTTTAAAGACTTCCAGGGATGGTGACTCCACCACCTCCCTGGGCAGCCTGTTCCAGTGTCTAACAACCCTCTCAGTAAAGAAGTTCTTCCTAAGATCCGACCTAAAACTCCCCTGAAAGGGTTGGGGGCAGGCCACAGGTTGTGAGGGGGTGGTGAGGGACCCCTGGTGTCAAAAAGGCCTCAATGGGTGAGGGGTGTGCTCAGGGTGGCTGTGCCCACCCCATGGGGGGCACAGGGTGGTGGTGGGGGATGTCCACCTGGTGAAGAGCCAGCTTGCAGGGCGTTAGTTCCTGCTCTGGCTCTGCAAGGGGTGTCCTCGCCTTCCTGGGCATCTGCAAGTGTAAAGGGGGACGTGCATCAGGCCTGGATCACTCAGAAGAACCACGTTTGGGGATGAAGCATGACCCCGTTGTTGTAGGGTGTCTCTCCACCAGCTGTCCCCATGGTGGTTCTGCCTGCCACCAGGCTCACGTTCAACGGGTGGCCCTTAGGGGTCTCCCAGAAGGTAAACAAGAAAGGCTCTTACCAGTGGGCCGAAACTTGCTACGCCCAGGGTTTGTCTTCCCTGGAAAAGTTCTAGTGGAAAAAGTTGGAAAACCACTTCGCCTGAGTGCTTATTTTAGGGTTGGCAAGTTGCATGTTGTTCTTCGTGTCTCTACGGGGCAACAGAGAAACAGGGAGTGGTGTCCCGTCCCGTGGGGACGGTGGCCAAGGGTGGTGCTGCCCACCGGGACCCCCACAGAGCAGCTACCTCGGGTACCTTCATTTACAGAGAAGGCTGCAGGAGTGGCTTTGGTGCTAGCAGCGGGGCGGCTGTTGTCTGTGTTATGTTTTAGATAAGCTTTCTTGTTTGGGGAAAGCGCAGAAAGAAGGATGAGGTGGACGCCGATCTATTTCTTCCTCCGAAAACGCTGTTTACGGTTGCTGAGCACTGTCCAACTACTGCAGCGCTTCGCCCCGGAGGTGGCAGCGTGGCGGCGGCGGGTGATGTAATTCCTGCGTGCATCTCTTCAGGTCCCGCTGGGCAGGCTGTGTCTGCTGTGATCCCCGAGAGAACCCCCCCTCAAAAGCGGGGAGCGATATTTCCCTGCCTCTCGGTGCTTGTGTAAAACATCCGTTTTCAGCTGGCAGCGTTTGGCTTTGGTACCGCTCACCTCCAGCGCAAGGGTCCCGGAGTTATCCCTCTCTCGCCAGCCTGTTGCTCAGGGGAGGGTTTTTTAATTACTCATTTCCTCTGCAGGCTGCTTCATTTTGTACTTAGTAATTTAGTTATAACTCCCTAGCTGCTCGCTCTCCGAGGCGTTTTGGTTTGTAACGTGTTTCATTTTCTAAAAGAGATGTCCTTTAGTGTCTGTTTAATTAATCTTGCTTTGTAAAACAAGACCACCCAAAGCCCAGGGCAGTTCTGGTGTTTTGCTCCCTCTGGTCCTGGGTTTGTTTATGCAAGCTCTCTTCTCCCTGTCGCTCTGTTTCTTCGTTTGGTTAATCATAAGCATTGTGCTCGAAAACTCTCTCAGGCAGCAAATTGGTTGCTTATTCCCCCCACTTCCATTTGCTCACGACTTCTGGTGTGGGAATGGCAATTTTCCTTCTTCATCAGTTCAAAGGGAGGAGTTCAATGTGCAGTTAGGAACACTGTTCGGTAAGCCATCCTCTGTGCTTGGTCACTGTTTGAGCTACATAAATAAACTCCATGCTCCTCCCTTTCTGAGTTCTGGAGTAGGAAAATGTTTTGCATCAATCTAAAGGAATTTGCCCCCTTGCTTCTAGCAGGTAAACAACTCCTTTTCTTTTCCTGGCAGGGCAAGGGTTTTTGTAATCAAGGCCAGGGGAAAAAAAAATCCTATCAAATCTTGTAATACACAGCTTCTATTGAGGTTTAAACCTATTCTCCTGTCCACTGCTATCCCGGACAACTCCCTCCCAGTCCCACCCTTGCTCCCCCCACAAACACACCCCCACCACATAAGCAAAACAAAGCGCTGGTCGCTGCCATTTCTTCTCTGCGGAGAAGTCTGTATGCCTGTTGCTAGCCAACTAATATTGTCAAAGACAGGAGGAATAAAAATAAATGTAGGTCTGAGTACACAGACTTTACAACTCAAACTACACTTTTTTCTGAGTATCGTTTTCTGGTAACATTACAGTCCTGTTTGGTACAGCCACATCATCTCCATCTGCCACTAAAATGTACAGTTTATATTAAATTTTAGGAATTAGTGGCTGCTCCACGCAGTGATTTAGATAGGAGCCCCTTGTGATATGGAGAATGCTTGCTGGTAAACTTTGAAGAACTGCTTGTTTGAATAGCTGTCCCCTTTCTTTTTTTCCCCCTTCTAGTAAAGGATAGCAAAAAATATACAAAGTCCAATTTCTTCTCTAAGGAGTACAGTCATTGCTTTGATATTACAAGCAAAGGAGATGATTGTGGGTCATGAGATCATGAATGGAAGCAGAGGATTCCATGGAAAAAATGTCTTTCAGATGTAATTCATACTATAAAAAATAAATCCTGGGCTCGCACATTCTGTTTCTGAGGTTTCTTCCCATTTCACTCACTCTACATAAACATTTCTGTGTTGTCAACCCCCTCCTGAGTCTAGAATTAATTCCTAAAATTTACAGAAGATTTTGCAGGGAGGAGTAGGGAGGGGAAGAAAGAGGAAGAGTTCGGAGATGTTTCTTTCTGAAGACTCTCAGCCCCTCCTAAAACAATAGACCCGTTCAAAATCGAGGGCCTTGGAAAAGTTTCGTATCACTTCCTCCATCCCCTCGGTGTGTACGTGTAATAATCCGCTGTGAGCAGGATTTCACTGCCGGGCAGGAGTGTCGTGTTGCACAGCTGTGTTGTTACGGACGATTATATTTCACAGATGTGATGACATAACTGTGAAGTGTAATTAAACAGTAATGACCAACAAGAAGGGCATTTCCTAGAGGTTAATGACAGATAGAAACAAAGTGGGTAGGAGAGCGGAGGGCCGGCAGTCCGGCCAAAGCCCCCTTAATCTGTTTAATTAACATGAGTGTCGCACTACAGCAGGCATTACAAATAAATCAAGATGAAATCATGGAAGTACTTACATTGAGCATAAGTGCTTTAAGGAAAATTAAGGATCGCTAGAAACTCCTTTTAGCTATGCTAGTGGAGGCTGGAAATCTGTAGAGAAATGTTGCTGAGTTTTATATTAAAAAAAAAAAAAAATCAAGGCTATTGGTTAGGGTAAGCACTGGATTTTTAAACTGTTGATACAAGCAAAAACTTGAGATACAGCTGGAATCACTGGCTGGAGTAATTTTTCCTGCTGAGGACGATAATATTGTCAAAAAATAGGAGGGGAAAACATAAAGATCTATCTTAGTACACAGACTTTACGATTCAAACTATAATTTTTCTCTGAATATTATTTAATGGTAACACTACAGTCCTGTTTGGTACAGCTTCAAATTTACTGTGCAATCAGGTGTTTGCAGGATCAGGTCGACATTGGATTATCAAATTTTTCTTTGCAATCTTCAGAAATGACTCAATTTTTAAAAGAAGTGACAGTAAGAAGTTAGAGACTTCCAATAACTAAAATAAGCCTTTTCCGCCCCTAGAAGCGAAGGAACTGAAACAGAAGTTGAAAGTTTAAGCTTGCTAACCTGAATTTTAAGCAGCTATGGGTCAGGTTTTCAAATGCTCCGAAGTACAAAAGTCCTATTGACTAAAAACTGCAAATGTTGATCGAGCGTAGCCCGATAATGGCACTTGAGCTTTCTGAACTGGGAGCTCAATAGATTGGAAAATGGTGCTTGTCTGCGAGCGTTTCATGGGATATTTGCTTATTGCTTTTGTGCCTGTTCTGTAGCTTTGCAGTAGAGCTGTTAATGGAGCTGAAAGTTGGTGTTTTTCAGTGTAAGCTGATATTTTCAGCGTGAGACTTATAAGCGTAAAAAAAGTTTTAAAACCTGAAGTTCTTACAGCATTTTGGAAGGGGTGAATGGAGTATTTTTTTTACTTTTTTTTTAGTTGGAGAGTAAATATGTGGATGTGTAAAATTAAACCGTGGAGTTAAAAATAAAATCTATTATGTGTACGAGCCCCATTATAAATTGAAAACTTGCTCTGCATGCGAAGAGCATGCTGCTTTATTTATAATGGCATTTTGCTAGGCACTTAATAAACTTGACAAAAATAAACAGCGCAATGCTCCGAGCAGCTATCGGGGTGCTGAGCCCACAGAATGCTGTGGGCAGCAGCGGTGTCACTGCATTTGGGGTCTGGGAACCCAAAACTGCGAGCTGGATCCAGCAATCTTCCCATTCCCCCCCCCGAAGGGAGATGGGGCAGGCTGTTAGCCAGGAACCCGAGGCTCCGTTTCAAGTAAAAATTGACCCGCTCTCAAAAAATGGAGATGTGCACGGCGTGTCAGTGTTTTGATGACCTCACTAACCACTCGGCCTCCATTCTTGTGGTTAGGACGATGCCATCACGGTGGGTGCGAGTGTGGGTATCCCTACAGCTCGGAGGGAACTGCGAGCCCTGCGTACGCGTGCTAAGGAAGTGCTTTGACCACAGAACCACGACTGCAGAGCTGCTCGTTGCTGAAATGCTGCGCGGGTCTGTTGACTCTGTTAACTCCTCGTGCAGTTTTAGCCCTTAAAGATTGCGTAATCTGCATTTACAACAGTTT